AGCAAGCAAAAATCAAACAATTAACTATGTAAGCATTTTTTATGATGGTCTTTTCTGAATCCTTTTCCTACCTCAGTGGTTTACTAAAAAGCAATGAGATGCTAGCTGATGTGGCAATGTGTAATTAGGACTCTGGCAAAAATAAAATGTTAAATACTTTTTGTTTTTTGGTCTTGCTATGTCTTCTAGAAGAAAGGAAAAGGATTTGTGATAGCAGAAAAAAAATATTATGTTGGTCAATTCCTAAATCAGAGTTCAATGAGCTTGTTTTACAAATACCAATGGCTAATACAGATGGTGGTGGTCAAACACCAGCGAGGTACACTGGTAGATCAAAAAATATTTATTTTACTGATGAAGAAATTGAAATGTGAGATGACTGAAAGAAAATTTTCAGAAAATTTCATCCTTTTCTGCCACTAAACGGCAGGAGAATGAAGGATTATTTTCTTTAGTTTCTAAAATTGCCTGAGTCCAAACCCATCAGCCCCCTGTGATTTTCATCTGCTCGACTGTGTTTTCTCAAGGAAATTTCCAAACTCTTTACAAGAAGCTTTCTCCAACAATTATACCAGTCTCTTACTGAGTTTCTTTTGTGTAAAAATTGGCCTCTGACCTGTTCTGTTTCTCCAGTGCCTGATTGAAACCCTAAAGAAAACCTTTTATTTGCTTCTGCCGAGGGAAAAACAAGCAGGGTACTTAGCTGGATGAGATAAGCCTTTGCTGGATGAGACCTCTGCAGAGCCCATGGGTGACACCAGAGGCCAGCTCTTTTAAAACACGTCACCTCTTGCCCTGCATGGCTGCTCCAAGTGCATTAACATTATCCAGGGGGAGAAGCAAGGCAGATGAATTTTGATCTCACTTTAAAACGACCACAAAGCTTCCCCCAGCACGGACGTGATGTTTGCACAGCAGAGGAGATCCATGGAAGAAGAGATCTGCACCACCAAGCAGATTTCATTCCAGCTACAATCAGCCTCCTTCCTCTGGGTTCTTCTCTGGCTTCAAGTAAGGACACCTTTGGGGGAGCTCAGCTTGGAGGATGTGACAATAAAGATTCCAAGAGCTCTGCTGACAGCCCTGTTTGGGACACAACCCCCTGGTGTTTCTCCAAACTATTATAGTCGGGCCAGGTCTTGCAGGTTTCCTGCAAGTGGGTGAGATTCTGCCCTGGGTAAAGGCTAAAGCTTAGAACTCTGGTTCTGTGCAGGCAGATGGGCTCTCAGAAGTGACTTTCCTTAAAAAACTAAGGCTTTGTTTCAGAAAGTCTGTGCACATATCTGGATTGATGGGAATACCCTTTAGACTGAACCCTTCATTGCATATTTATTTATCTGAGGATACAGAAAAAAGCCTTAAATCCTGTTTATTTTCCAGGTGATGCTCCAGCCTACATGAGATAAGGATCACACTAGGCTCAAACATTATTCTCCCAGCCCAAGGGAAAGTCCTCGACTGCATTTTCCACAGCATGGGTATAAAGAAGTCTCTAAACAAAGCTCCAGGCTTGTTTTTACATACCTCCACTTGAATATGTACAAACCCATTCTCAGGTCCTCATTTGATTTCTGTGACGCCGCCTTAAAACAAAACCACAAAAACTGTCAAGAAATTATTTGACTGATTCTATTCCTGTTAGTAAATGGAGGAAAATGTAGTATCATTTTCTTCCCTTCTGGCCCCAAAAAGAAAGCAAATCTGTAGGGAGAAGTTACCTACTGAGAGCTGGGGAGTTGTTTCATCTATAAGAGAAACAGCTGATCTCTTCACATTCTCCATGATATAATTGCTAAATTATAAACATGAAAAGTGAATTTCTCATTCTGTATGATTGGTTTTTTGTGAGCAGAGTCCTGCCTACACAGTAATCAACAGGAACTAAAGGATGTTGACAATCCAGAGATTTCATTCTTCCCTGAGAATCAAGTGGCATCACAGTCTGATATTTGTGATTTAGTTTCTGATTATTTCCTGACCCTTCTCAAGATGAATTTATGCTCTGAGAGTTCACTAAAAAAAATTCAGTTTATTATAATTATCCATGGATTTGACAGGGATTTGAGGGTGGGAGATGCATGGCTTTTTTGATTTCCAGTGGTGGAAATGTCTGATTTGTAGTTGCTAACTGATGATGTTTTTTCTTACCTTGCACCTTCCATTCTCCCAATAAAATCTGCTGTCACAGAGATTTTCTATGTGACCTCTTGATGCTAGTACTGGCCTTTTGCAGGGGGAGCATTAATTCTTACTTTCATTTACTCTCACAAGGATGCTTTCCTAGTAAGAGTGCTGTAACAACAGGCTTTCATTAACTTATTTTAACTGCTTTATAAAGTAACTTTATAAAGCATTGTAAGTTACACTGGAAAACCCATCTTTGTCCAAGGAAGATTGTTCACACAATTATTAGTGTAATCCTTCAGTTGGACCAAGATGCCTCCAAGTGTTTGGCCAGGCAGAGAATTCCTGGCTGAGCTCCAGCCCACACTGCACTCCAGCTCTGCTCTCTGTCATCCCTTTTAAAAATTTCCCCTTTTACTCTTGGTCTCGGTGTCCCCATCTCTCATTACTAATTCAGTTACTCACAAGCCCTTCTATCTTCCTTCCATGTCCCCCTTGCCTTTCATCTTTTCCTCCTCCTCCTCTATTCATAGAGGGTTTGTTTATTCTCTCTGCCTCAGTCTATGGCATTCTGGGATTTAGGCTTCCCTTGTTCTCATTCCTTGTCACCTCTCCTTAAAAATCTATATTCCTGATTGAGTCTTATCCATCAAAATACCTGTCAAAAATAAGCATTTGATCCTACTTCTGTCCTCATAAATAAACTCATGACAAAATGTACTATTGCCCAAATTTCATCTCCAGCCAGCTGTTCCTTTCCCTTCATCTCACAACTCACTTGAAATACTTCATGGCTCCTGCCTTGAGTTTTTATTTCTCAGTCCCTTAGGTTACTTTCTGATCTCTGTTTACCATTTGGGAATTTTTTTGTTTGTGTTTTTATGGATTGTACTTAAATGTCCGTGTTGTCTGATGGTTCTTATTGGCACTCTTTGCCCTGTGGATATGAATAGTTTCTGTAACTCCATACAGGACCAGCCCTTGTTCTCAAACTTGTCTGTCATATAAAGGCTGCTGGATGAAAGGAAAGGCTGTAAATGCTCCAGTTCTGTGACAGGTTTAATGTCACATCACTCAGAGCACTGTGTGTGAGCCCAAACGGTTGGAGTTGGGCACATTCTCAGGATCAAGACCTGAAACACAACAAAGCTACTGATGTCAGTTTTTGTTCCTTATGCAAGCATCAAATTTGGTTACAAAATATATTTTTAATCTGGGCAAATTTAGATTTTCAGGAAGGAATGGGATGTAACTTACTCTTCATTGTTCTTTGCTCGAAGTTCCTAATTTAGTTAAATTTCAGCATTTAATCTAAATCCATTATCCTGAATTTTAAAAAAAGTCCAATATTTTCTCACTGATGTGCTGGTATGCAACCAATAAGAAAGGCTGCAAGCACATAAATAATCACTCGTTTAGCCAGCCTGGCTTCCTACCCCAACGTGTTTTATGACTTGAATAGACACTTCTATACTTATTTACAGGCAGGGAAGTCCAGGAGGAGATCAGTGACCTTAGCAAAGTTCACACAAATGTCAATGGCAGGAAACTGGCCTCCTGATTTCTTGTCTAATTCTGTATCTGTGGGATCATGCTTTAGTAATCAGCACTGTTTTCAACTGCACTTTTTAACCCTGAGTATGAGTGATTTGAATATCTTTCAGAGAGAGGTAATGGGAAATACTTACACTGAAAAACCTGGTAAGTCAATTAATGTTTGCAAGATGCACAGGACCAGTGGTAAAGAATATGATAGAAAATGTAATCACATTTATTTGTGATCCGGCTGCATGAACTGGATCATCCCCCCATACACAGACACACCACCAGCAGCCAATACCTAGAGAATAAGTCAGATGAAATGATACTGCCTAGACCTAATTCTTTGCTCAGACCTATGCTTACAGATCTGTCACACCTCAGGGAAAACTACACACTGACATCTGTAAGTGGAATATTTTAGAAGGGCCATTGCAGCAGTGAGAGATTGATGTCTATGTTTTTAAGGGCATTTTATTTTGGAGCTCCAAACTACTGTGTATCAAATATCATGCATGATCATTGTCAAATATTTGTGAAATCATCAGCAGAAGACAGATACTTTCTGGCCATTAACCAGATGAAGACAACAGTGAAATAATTTAGCTCATAGAAAAACTGGTTGTGTGCCATGGTTAGGAAGAACCTTGAGCCTCCTCTGTGTTATACAATCTTACTTAGTTGTTCATACAGATTCTCAGAGGCACTTTTTATTAGAAATCTCAAGTTTTGCCAATTCTGCCATATATACAGTCTAAAGCAAATTAAGGCATCAAAAGTAAGAAGCTTCAGGAAAAATTTCAGTCTGGTAGTGTCACAAAATTTCTAAGGTAAAGATTGTTCTGTAAAGCTTTGTTTTGTTAGTATTGCATATTACTGAGAGGCAGTCTTCAGTACCAGTATGGGTATATTGATAGCCAAGGTGAGGCTCTTGCTATCATTTGAGTGCAATAGAACTCTCTGTGAGTTGGCTCCACACCATTTCCTGGCCCTAGTAGAAAGCTCAGTCCCCGGGCAAAGCAGCCCTGTCCCCTGACAGCCCCACTTGCAGTGCCCCGCTGCCAGCCAGGACAAAGGACCTGCTGCTGCAGGAACTCCATGCTCACTGCTATTCACCCACAAAAATGGGAGTTAAGTGCTTCAGATGCAGTGCTTATGTCTAAATGCTAATCAGGGCCTCTGGCTTTCTGAGACACACAAATGAGGAAGAAAAGCTGTAAATGAGAAGGTTAATTTCTTATTTACAACAGTGCTGTAGGTTCATGGCAGAGTTACAAGTGTTAGCACTGAGAAACGCTTCTGTATTAACTTTTCTCTTTTCATATGTCTTTCTCTAGAAAAAGATGAGAAGAGAACAAATATTTCACAGGCAGAGGTAAGTGATTTTATTTTTCTTTAACATATTTATTGTTAAATTAGTTCTATTGTTAAAAACTCTTGGAAGCTCACCGAGTCATCCCGGTAGATACTTTTATTTATATTGTCATGCCATCTGCAGCAACACAGCCTTTTAAGAACCATCATATCCAAAGCAGGGCTGTGTAGAGCTGTGTTGTGTGTTCTGCCAGCTCTCCCTTCCCCCTGTAGCAGGGAGCTGCCTGGCTGCCATGCCCTGTTAAAGCACAGCAGAGCCAAGGTGACCCTGCCAGCTCACCCATCCCGGCATTGCTGTGGATCTGCAGGTCCCTGCTGGGCCACAGGGGCATTCCAACACCTCTCCTCTCTCTCCATCACCTGTCGAGCCTGCAGCAGGCAGTGCAGTGATGGTGTCTGCACAAGAGCTTAAAGCTGGTTCCATTTTCTAACCTCTCCTTGCATGGTTCCTCCAGTTCCCTGATCTCTTTCTCCTTCACCCTCTGCTCAGAGCAGCAGGCAGCACTTTAAATAGCAGCAGCAGGTATTGATCGGTTCCAATTTGAACTCCAACACAAACTTACAAAGATTTACTGGCCTGAGGTTCACCAAGATATCCCATAGTGTTTATAAATAGCTTTCTCTTTCCAAAGACAATATTTTATTTATAAATGTTATCATTCTATCCATTGTGATAAGCTAAGGTAATAGAATTAGGTAATCTACTTGTGTGACACATGTCTCAAATGAATGAAGAAATAGATTGATTAAAATTCATGGTTTATATAGTAGACATTCTTAGCAAATATTTGGGTAAAGGCAAGCTTATTACTACTACTAGAAATTGATCAAATGAGGGGGAAAAAAGCTCGGCTACACACAGCTTTTCCTTTTTCCAAACCTTTTAGTTACGAGTGTGATATGGTGCTTATGTCTTCCAAAGCTAGCTAAGGGTGTACTGTACGAGGCTTTCTGGTCCCTTTTATGTAGACATAATTCATGTTGGTATAATATTGACACCAATTTAGCTGCTTTCGTTTTGCAACAGCTGCTCTGCTTTATCACTGAATGCACTCCAGTTAGTTTTTGTTAACTAAATATTGGTATAATGTAGTAATACTATTGTTATTCTGTGTGTATTGGTATAATATAGTAATACTATTATTACTCTAGGTGTAATTTTACTACCATTACTTTGGAATAATTTGTCTTTTGTGCATAGATGCTATTTTGAGGCCACAAAAAGTTTGTGTCTAAATACAATGCTCAAATGAGGCTCAGTTAAAGGCTGCTGCAATTACTATCTTAGGTTTAATAGAACACATTGAAAAGGTACAGGGGGAGGGATTTTACACTAATTTATATTAAAATGTAGAAATGTATATTAAAATTAAAATGTATATATTAATATTTCATAATATTAATATGTATATATAAAATATCACACATACATATAATCACTGATTACACTGTGATTGGAACATTGGCTAATGTAAACCTTGCAACTATTTTAATATATAGACATTTATTTGCCTTATGAGAATCAATTACACAGGCTGCTAAAAGCACAGGCTATCCTAATTTTATGTTTAACGATCTTTTTATAGAGCAATGGGTGATTTTCAGTAGTATTGGGTCTGTCTTGCCTTGGAGTCAGAAAGGCTGTCCATTA